GGAGCATACTTCACCAATAATAAAAAGGGAAAAAATTAGCTCATAAGAAATCAGGACTGGGGGCAAGGTTGAACTCAAGAGGTGTGGCTAATAAGTTTTGGCTTCCAGAGCACGATGACGTTCTCATTCCTTATCTTGCAGAATTAGCATTAGATGGGCTAAAGCCAGACAAGAACTTCAAGGCAGAAGCTTATAAAATGGCAGCGATGAAAATCAACATGCAATTTAGGACTGATTTCACTCATATACATGTCATTAACCACTTGAAATGCTTGAGAAACAAATTCAATGACATGAAGGCTTGCCTTGATATAAGTGGAGCTGGGTGGGATGAAATAAATAAAATGATTACACTGGATGACGAAACCTTGAAATCGTGGTCTCAGGTATAACATTCAGCATCCACATTGTCATTAGTAATTAATACATTTGGTTCACAACTTATGATTATTTGTTATTGCAGGACAAATCCAAATCTAAGTTCAAAGCGTACATAAACAAACCCCTACCTCACTTCAAAAATTTACAAACTATCATGGGTGATGACCAAGCTAAGGGTGAATTTGTTAGGCCTGTGTATGCTAACATTGGGTCTAGTAGGTCCATACCTATTCATGAAAATGATAGTGAAATTCCAGAGGAGAGTGGAACTACACCACAATCTGATGCTTGTAACCAACAACAACCAACTAGATGTAAGTCTAAGAGTAAAGACAACATGAATTCATCTTCTAACAAGAAACCTAAAAAATCAAATCGTGAAGAGGAAATGTTATGTGCCTTTGTTGACTCAATGTCTCAGTCCATGAGAAATCAACACATTGTTCATTGGACTGAACAATTGGCTGCAGCGTTGAAGGAACATAGGGATGAATACTCTGAGGAATTCCTGGATAGGATTTTAGATCACTTATATGACAATGAACGTGAAGCTAGAAGGTTTTTCATAAAAGGAAAGGAAGGTCAGCAGAGGTACATTACCAACCTGATTAATGACCAAGGTTGGTCTATTAACTAATTTGTGCGGTTTGGATTACATGTGGATGGAGCATTTTGTTGTGCACACGTATATGTTGTTGCGCATATATAATTTTGTTATTTGCAAACTATTCATGTTGCAATACTTCTTGTTATGAAAACGCTATGACGTCATGTAATTAATGAATTGGTACTTTTTAACTTTTGATGCAGGTAAGTATGGATAGGCATGACCAGTGAGCTCTTAACGTTGCTCCTTTGCTTTATTAGCTATTTGGCTTTGGGTTATTTTGCCATCAGGTTTGTTACTGTTTTGTTCTTGGGTTTGTGTGGTCCCTTGAGTTTGGATTTGTGGCTGTTTTTTGGAGCTTGGGTACCTCCTTGCTAGCTGGGTTAGTTGCTGCTTTTTTGGAGCTTGTGTAGCTCCTTGCATGCTGGGGTTTGTGCCTGTTTTTCCCCAGATTTGCAGCTCAAGTTGCTGCTGGTTTTGTTGTTGTTTTGTTGCTGGGTTTGTGCTAGCATTAGCTGGGGTTTGTTGCTTGTTTACCGCCTGTCTGATGGGTTTACTGCTGTTTTGTTTTTGAGCTTGTGTAGCTCCTTGCCATTTGGGTTGTTGCTGTTTTATTCTGAGCTTGTGTAGCTCCTTGCTAGCTGGGGTTTGTGCCTGTTTTTCCCCAGATTTGCAGCTCAAGCTGCTGCTGGTTTTGTTGCTGTTTTGTTGCTGGGTTTGTGCTAGGGCTTGGCAATTCATCTTTATAATTAAAATCTGTAATAAACATGTTTAAGTTATAGGTCGGGCAATTCATTTTTGTGCTGAGCTTGTGTAGCTCCTGTGAGTTGGGTTTGTTGCTGTTTTTGACAGAGGTTGTTTACCTCCTTGCTGTTGGGTTTGTTGCTTTTTTCTTCTGAGCTTGTGTAGCTCTTGACCCCTGGGTTTGTTTCTGTTTTGTCCAGAGCTTGTGTAGCTCTTGACCCCTGGGTTTGTTTATGTTTTGTTCAGAGCTTGTGTAGCTCTTGACCCTTGGTTTGTTTCTGTTTTGTTCAGAGCTTGTGTACCGCCTTGCTGGGTGGGTTTGTGCCTGTTTTGTTCTGAGCTTGTTTGTCTCCTGTGACTTGGGTTTGTTGCTGTTTTTGTTGTAGGTTGTCTACCTCCTTGCTGCTGGATTTGTTGTTTTTTGGTTCTGAGCTTGTGTAGCTCTTGACCCCTGGGTTTGTTTCTGTTTTGTTCATAGCTTGTGTAGCTCCTGTAATGGGGATTGCTGCTTTGTGGGAGCTGTTTTGGTTTTCCTTGCCTGTGGATTAATTTGCGGTTTGGTTTTCAGCTTGTGTAGCTCCTTGCACTTGATATTTGGCAATGATGATGATCAGCGTTTACTGAGAATGCAATCTAACTTACATTGTTTATTATATCCAGATGAGGCAAAAGGGGATGACATTGCAGCCTACATTGAATTGACAATGTCTAGGCGAGGCAATTCATCCTTATAATGCAATCTGTAATAAACATGTAAGTTATAGGTGGGGCAATCAATGATGACAAGTTGATCTATTACTGAGCCATACAATATCAATTAGAATTTGTACCCAAGTCAAACAACAGTTTTCATTACATCCTCAATAGTTTTTGCAATTACAAGTACATGACATGAAGTTTGTAATAATTAAAATAACACAAAAAATTGCTAAGAAAATTGCCGAAATTTTCCAAGCTAGTAGTTGATTTTCGACAAGTCTCAATTCTTTCTTCAGCTTCTTTGATTGCAAGATATATTTATCTCCGTACCTATTTTCTTTGACATATTGGCTTCCTTGGGTGCTTGATGACTCTCCTCTTTCTTCAGCCCATTCGAAAAAATTGCATTCTTTATTTGGGAATTTTGCACACCCCCAATAACACCTACCCTTATTTTTTCCATTCTTGCACACTTTCATCGGTGTTCGGAGATTGCAGTCGCAATAAACTTCATAACTAGCATGGCACCCTTCTGATATCATCCTGCAGCAAATTGAAGAGCTTGGGAATTTTTTTGGGTTGAAAAATGAGAAAGATGGGATTATATGTGAGGCCTCAAGGTGTATTTATAGACACCATACCCCTGAAATAGCCGTTGCTACAGTGATTCCTAAGAGACAGCCGTTGCTACAGTGTTTGATGCTTGAAAATTCTGGTTTCTGGGCTTATTACCGTTGCTACAGTGAAATTTAAATGTTGTTACAGTGTCTTTTTGCTGGAAATAAGCATTTGGGGGCTTAAATAGCCGTTGCTACAGTTTTTGATGCTTGAAAATCTGTTTTTTGGGGGTTATTTCCGTTGCTACAGTGACGATCCCAAAAAAAATTGACTCCTTGAACCAAACATGGTATTAGGAATTGAAACAATTCTATAAAAGTGGGATTACTAATCCTTTGGGTGAAACAAACATTAAAAGCCAAAAAAAGTGGGATTCCATAAAACTCAAACTTGTCTATAAATTTTTTATGGATTAGGTTGGAATCCATAAATTAAATAGGATTCCTAATCCTATTCCTAGTCCTTGGTGAACCAAACAGCCCCTTAGCTTACGTGACTTCACTCTAGCCGTTGAAGTAATGTGTGGTGTTTGACCGTGACAGCTGATCTACAGAGATAATTTATCATGAAACTGATATTGCGTTCTGAGAGCGTCAGCTTTCCTCTGTTCTGATCAAAGGGCCAGAAGATCAAAGTACTTTAGTACTGTTAATTAAATTATATTTCTATCAATAACCAATTAAATTAACCAATCAATAATTATCATTAAATATTGGTCAGTGTGACGCATCATGCTTGGGACCTATTTTCTCATCCTAACCGTGGTCAACTATTATTTATTTATTATATTGGACGTTTGGGATTCCAAGTCGTTTCCACCGAATCAAACGAGACCAGTATTATTGTCTTTTTAAACATAAAATTATAACCGTAAAAAAAAACATAAAATTATGGATTAAAATATCTAAAGGTCAATATTTTGAGGTAATATATGAAAGACATTAATGCAGACTAATTTTACAAATAGTTTGATTTTGAAGCAGAACAACGAGAGTTGATTTGCATGGAGATTTGTTATGTATGAACATATCAACATTTTTTTTTCAGAGAGGCTTTTTTCTTTATGCTTGAATTTTTTTTTACAAAACTTTATGATTTGAAATTTTTTCATATTATATTGGAAGAAAATGCATTCCTAAATCCAATTCAAAATTAATTCCTAGTCTTTTATTCATTCCCTTGGTTGAATTACATGACTATATACTCTACTTTATTCTGAAGAAGAATAACATTATGGACTTGTAGGTGTATCCGTGTAGGGAGACTTCGATTTCCAAAAATGCTGGTCTTCCTTTTTTTTTAATCAGAAAATATTGGAGAGAGGATAAATAAATAAATAATACAAAATACTCACATATTAGAAGGCAGACAAGGATCAACTTGATCAATGGGACTCAAGTTATTTTACTAAAATAATAACAATTGACGCGTCACTCGCTCTCAAATTTGAAGTTGACGGTTACCTTAATTTATATAATGTATGCACGGCTTAATTAATTAATTTATAGTAATAGTTTTACAAGTTATATCCAATTTTTATTAGGATTTCCCTCCTAGAAATTTAGTTTTTCTAACCGCAGGTGATCCAGATGGTTGAAAGGCTCAATTATGGCTTCTACATTCCTAGGCTCGATTCAGGATCGCGTAAAAAAACAAAAGTAGGTTCAGTTCGGTTTTCTTAATAAATAAAAATCCCAGAGCTCAAAAATTAAAATCGTGTTTGTTGGGAAACACCAAATCCGCACACGTGACCTTTTCCCTCTGTTAATTGATTAACAATTAATCCCTTGATTAATCTATACTTAGTTTAAATTCATAGGACGCCTTTTTTTTATACATGAATATAGTTTTATTAATATTTTATTCATTGTATAAGAGATTTGATACAGTCCTTATCCTATCCCAATATATCCTCTCTCTCTCTCTCTCACCCCCAGCTCACTTCTTACTGTATCTTCTCTCCTTCTCTCTCTTACTTATTTACAACTCTGCCCCTCTCTCTCCCTTCCGCCTCTCTCTCTCTCTCTCTCCCCCCTCTGAGCGAACGAAGCCCAAGCCCAGAGAGAGCGTTTCAAAAAGGGTGGGTGTTTTGGTAATTTCCCAGCCGCCTCGAACTGCTCGACCTTTAACCCCAGACGCCATTACTCATCAATGGAGGAGACTGAAGATTTTCGGGCTCCCCAAAATCCTAATCGAGCCGTAACTGATTTTGGACTAGGGTTTGTTTGATCGGTTAAAGGTGCGACTTTGGGCTTCATTTTGAGCTCTCACTTGCCTTTCCGTGTCTCTCCATGCTAAAGATCTCACCTTTTCCTTGAATTCTAGGGTTTTTGAGCTGCAATCTGAGTTCTGAAGGAGCAAAAAAACCATTTTGGGTTTCCTTACCGCTAAAGATCTCACCTTTGCTGCGCATTTTTCAGTTGTCACTGTAAAATTTCTATTTGTGGAAACTCTCCAATCCATGCATGGATGGGAGAGAGGCAATGGCGATGCCCACAAACCCTTCATCTTACTACATCCACAGAGGACTAGGAGCCCATGGTCCTGGTCCACAGCCCGGACTCCATGGACCTGGACCACAAACCCTGAGAACAATCCCCAACCAAAACCCTAGCTTACACAACCAAAACCCTAGTCCAGGTTTCCAATTAGAGTCCTCATCGTCGCCATCGTCAATGCCAATGTCCTCTCAAGGGGTTAATGTGAGGGAGGGCGAGCCGGTAAGAAACCAGGGGGAGGCGAAGGAAGTACGGGCCCGATGCAGTGTCGCCCTGGCTCTCTCGCCGTTATCCGCCAACGCCCCCGGCCGCCTCCGGTGGTAGTCGGGATCGGTGACCCCGAAAAGGGGAAGAGGGAGGCCACCAGGGACTGGGAGGAAGCAACAGTTAGCTTCTCTTGGTGAGATTTGCGTGAACTTATTTATATGTTCGGTTAATTAATGACTGATTAGAATAATGTTGTAGTTTAATGTTTGTGTGTATTTTATTAATAGTTTGTTATATTCAAGTACTTGTTCCCTGGTTTTTTATATAGAAGTGCATGGGAAGGGAACTAGCAACTCAGCAATGGCACTCGGTTAATGAGCCTAATCTCACGAGTTTTAACTGAGATTGTCAACAATTTTAGCCCTTTTTTTTATGACGGAGGGTTAATGTGGTGCTTGGTGACCTTGCTTTCTTATTGTTCTTGAGATTTGAGCTGTGTTTGATTTGGTATGTTTTTATGTGGTTGATTAAAATATTGTAGTGTTTTAAAGTTCTTTTGTGGAGGGTGTTATTGATTGTGCATATTTAATTGTCTAGTTTGTTGTATTCAATTATTTTGTTCCCTGCTTGTGTATATAAGTGCATGAAAAGGGAAGAAGCAGTCAAATATTTTATAGCAAATTAGAACTCTGAACTGCCACCTGGTTTAATTGCCCTAATATTATAGGACCCCGTTGGCAAAGATTTATGGATTGGAGATTAAGAAAATGGGTTAAGCTCTTTAACTAATTTCGAGTAAATAAAGGGTTAAATTGATTAGCTTATGAGGTAAATGTTTTATTAATTCATGAGGTATTCTTTAGCGGTGTTCCGGAAGAGAGAGGCCTTTCATCGTTTACTTCATAAATAATGGTTTATTTTGTAGCTTTTCAAAAGAGATTAACCTGTAAACCTCTCGTTGCAGGTGGTTATTGGTCTAAATGAATTAACACAGGTTAACGTTATGTAGTTTCCTCATCTGACAAACTAATATAGGTTAACTCGCTGTACTCCATGCACACATGTTTTTTGTCTTTGAAATGGGAAGGGAAAAACCAGCAATTCAGAAAATGGTAACTTTTTTACTGATTCTACTAATCTCATAAACAGTGTCATATTTTAGCCCCTTTTTATGAACGTGGGTTAATCTTGCTATTTGATGATTCTTGTGATTTGAGTTGTGCTTCATTTAGTATGATTAGTTATTTGGCTTGGCTATTGGGATTTGCTTCAGAAAAGGATTTAAAGTTGTTTAGCAATGTTGGGTCTGTAAACTCAATTCATTGGTGATAGATCAAGCTTTCCTTTCTTGATATTTTGCACTTTGTTTTTGTAATCCATTTTCGGACATTTTAGCTTCTAGGAACTTCTTTTTTAGGTTGTACTAATGGTTTGCTAAATCATTGGAATATGTCTCCCCTTTCTAGCCCAATGCATTATGAGGTCATGCAACGAAGTCGCGCCTGTTTTTTTTCTCGGAAAGAAAGACATAATTATACTTTGTGTTTTCACTCTCTAAACATTGCCACTTTATCAAGTTGTCAAAAGTAGGAAATATTTACTAATTGAAAATATTTATTGAAATTTAATTTTGTTTCACATAGTTCTGTCTTTCCTCTTGCCTGTAGCGGTACAAATGAATTGAATAAAAATCTTACCATGCCTACTACTCACAAACACAAATATGAATATGGATACATGTCTGTAAAGGAAGCTCATGTCCATGTCCGCTAAAATTGGATACAGACACATTAGATAAGCGGACACATAACGGATAAGACTAAGAGGGGGGAAAAGGAGATTACTGGTCATATGACACGAGATGTCTAAACGTAACACATTGCTCAAATGGAAGTCCCTTAATAATGTTCATCATATTTGAAAATACATGTCCATCATAGTTGAAAAGTTATAGCAATTTTAATTATAATAAAATTGACCTCAAATCTAGTGGCCAAAAAATCAAAGCAATTTCAATTGTACAATCTTTACATATATTCAGATATGAACCCGAATATTTCATTGATATATATGTATCCATATCTACCCAATACGGATATATCCACGATATCGGTATTTGTTTTGCGTCCAACTTAAACGGTGCTCTTCTTTCTTGTTACTTGTGCATAGATATGGTAGGTATTGAAGGATAGAGTAACTCTTATATAAGTTCATAGCTCGGAAAGATTTCTAACTAAATCAGTTCTTGCGTGCTTCTTGTTTATGTCGGTTAAATTGGTCCTCCCAGAGAGTTGACTGGCTTATAATTAGAGTCCTCTTCTTCAGAATGTCTTTCATGTCTTTCAACATTCATACACTTGATCTACTGCATCCTAATATGCTGCCCTTTTCTGTAATGAAATTTACTGTATATGTTTCTTTTAAATGTTTTTTAGTTCTAATTGCAAATTATTAGTCCCAGTCCCAATGAGAACCTCTTGTGTGCTATCTTTGTTTGGTTTCTTATCTGCGAGAGAGATAACATTGAACATTGCCAGTTCTTTACATCTTATTTTTTTACTATGTTCGTAGGGGAATGGGTTGCTGGCTCTGCAGGAATGGGTTTCACTCCACATCTCATAACTATTGCAGTAGGAGAGGTATGAGTAGGCTATTCCATTGAATTCTATGCGGTTATTTGATTTTATGAGAGCACGTTTTTATCATTCTTTTATATTTACTTAAAGCTTAGATAATGATGTGTGGTTATCTGGTTAAAGAATTCGGCTTAGTTATGAAGTTGAATGCTGTTTCGTAACCTACTAACTTCAACTGCTAGTAAATCAAGGATGTGGAGGATGTATCTTTTTGTGGTGATTTCTGTTTATTTGCTTGGTGTTGAAAGATCGGTAGGCTCTTTAACTCTGTTTTCTATGAATTGTCCGTTGCTAGGGTCTAAAAAGAGTTGAATTAAACTAAACTTAAAGGGAGATTAATGATGAACTGAGCGGCTGAGAAATAGGGTGATCAGTGTTTCATGAGTAAATAGGGGTATTTCTTTAGGAATACATTTTAGTTTATGGTATTCTCAAACACTATGTATTGGATAATTTAGGCTTATTTAAACAAGATACTCATGAGAAAATTGATAATAATATCAAGTATGTTATGATCTGAACTTGTGACAAATCCATTGAATAGTATAGCTTGACGAGTTTTTTATTCCTTGTTTCTGTTACTAACTGTATTTGTAGTGATCACATATTTGGAGAGCCTAATTTGAGAAATAGGGTGATCAGTGTTTCGTGAGTAAATAGGGGTATTTCTTTAGGAATACATTTTAGTTTATGGTATTCTCAAACACTATGTATTGGATAATTTAGGCTTATTTAAACAAGATACTCATGAGAAAATTGATAATAATATCAAGTATGTTATGATCTGAACTTGTGACAAATCCATTGAATAGTATAGCTTGACGAGTTTTTTATTCCTTGTTTCTGTTACTAACTGTATTTGTAGTGATCACATATTTGGAGAGCCTAATCTTGCTCTGAATGTACTACTTTTTTATACACAAGATTATAACTAAGTTTCTTTGTGACGTGCAGTCTATCATTAGAAGGATGGTATAAGTTTTTAACTAACCTAGGAAATATTTGTTCTTAACTATTCTTGTAGGACATTGCATCAAAGATAATGTCATTCTCACAACAGGGTCCAAGAGCTATCTGTATTCTTTCAGCAAATGGTGCTGTGTCCACAGTAACTTTACGCCAAACTGCGACTTCTGGTGGTACTGTTACATATGAGGTACATGTTTTTCCTTTTCTTTTTAGTTGTTGTATTTGACAATCTGCTTCTTAAATATATTTGGTTGCATGTATTGTGATTTATTTGGAGGTCCACTATCATTTAGCCTTTTGTTCTACTAGTTGGTTTGGGGGTCCAGAGTTATGATAACTTAGTTGTTTGAGTAGTATTTATATAAAATAATGGGGGTCCAGAGTTATGATAACTTAGTTGTTTGAGAATACATTTAGTATTTATATAAAATAAATAGTGTCTTGTTTATTTTGAGTATCGGCAGTACATTAGATATGACTGAAGTTACTCCAGTTATTTCATTTATCTTCCTCATGAAGAACAACAAATCACTTAGCATTTTGAAAGTAATATTTAGAATCATGAGAATCATAGACATCATAATGTAAGGATATCCATGGCAATTTCTACTTGCACATCCCAGCAAAGTTTCTCAAAATCTTGAGTGAACAGTGGAATCCAAGAATGTAACGATGTACTCGACAAACTTCATATATACTGATAATAAAGTAAACATTGACATTATTTATTCTTTCCTGCTTGTGAGTGCTTACAGTTGCTAATAATTTACAAAACGGCCTTTTTGTAAGGATCATATTCTTTTTTTCTTTTTTCCTTTCAGTTAAATATAGCATATTTCGAGTTTCCTCAGCCAGTCCCTAATTCCTGCCATGTTTATGTCATGCCCACTCTTAGCTTATAGCAATCATCTTTATAATGCACAAAAAAATATTTGGAAAACTTGATCACCAATAATGTCCGAAGATGGTCTATCACTGTTATCAAGGTGATGAGGTAGTCCATCCTAAATGGATGATCTGAAAAGAATAGTAATGTTAATTAAGCCTTTCTTTTGGAGGGAGGGAAAAAAATACTTTACAAAAGATTGGTCGCAATAATAGCTTCGCGTTATGATTTATTTTCTTTGCCTAAGGCAAAATTTTCTAACTATTGATGCTTTCATTGTTACCAGAGTCAGCAGGGTCTATAGTGTTATTGTAGGAACCTACAGTAACTTTGATATGTCATATCCTATGGTCACCCCTGTTGAATAACTGAAATGTTAAGTCATATTCTCATTTATACAGTAAGCCAGGTAAGTCAATCGGATGGGAAACTGACGCTGTATACTTTTTCCTTTGTAGTTTTTTATTGTTTTTTGAGATATGTGCTAATTAATAATAATAAGACACGAGTTTTAAAAAAAATAAAAATAAAGACATACTAACTTACATATGATTTAGTATGATTTATGACTTATTCAACAAGGGTTGACATTGATTCCTGCATGACGTAGAAACAAAATTTGAGTATGGGGAAGCAACTCTTTATAGAATTTCAGTGCATTGATTGTCTATTAAGGAATGCGTGATTGTCTGGAATTGAGACAGTATGGGCATTTATATTATTCAAAGAACTTAGAAATGAAGTACATATTACTTATTTGTGTCATCATATGAAATTATGGATGTACTTTGATCTATTTGGAGTAAATATCTTGCACAATTCATTGGCTTAAGAGACACAACTCTTAAAGTCCCTACCACTACATCGGAATTCAGAAGTTGTTGTGAGGGTTGAGAGCCCTTTCTGGCCTGAAATCTTACCTCACTGAGTAACATCTTTTGTTTTAATAATATGCTTTAGAAATTCGTGACCAACAAGATTCGAACTTGGGTTGCTCTGAAATCATATTAAAGTCTTTGCCATTACACCAAAACTCTGAGGGTTGAGCTTTGTTATTTTATACTATAGCAATAATAAAGGGTGCTTTTATGAAGGGCAAATCATGTAAGATCTTGTATGTGGTGCTTAATTGATAACCAATTTATGATTGAGGAATGCATATTTACTTAATATTGAATTGAAGTTATTTTACAAGTTTAGCTTGCAACAAGATGCAACTAAATTTTATTGCTCAAGATGCAACTGAATTTTAGTGCTAAATCACATCTAGAGAAAAGTTGGAACATCTAGTAGTTGCCATTGTAGTATTTATAATCACAATGATTGATGTTTTTGAGTGAATAGGAGTAGGGGATATAGTCACGACGATTGATATTTTCGAGTGAATAGAAGTTGTTTACCTTGTATAACTTTTTGAGAGCTAATGAGTTGAAGGAAGTTCGTAAACAAAATTCCACGTAAAAACTAGATGAATTCTTTTTCGGTCTTGATACTTAGTCTTAGGTTTTAAAGGCAGTAAGTGTAGCTTATGAACTCATTTGACAATGTTTTATTATGTGAATATCTTTTTCAATTGGTTTCCAGATCATACCTTTTTTCTCACCATATGGTGAGCAGTTGTCTCTTTTTGTGAACATATAAAAAAAATCAGGACAGCCAAGCACTATATATATATGAGAAAAATGGGTATTATGCTTGGTACCAAGCATAAATTTTGTGCTTGGTAGTGATGTGTCATATTCCCATCCACTCGTTCCAATTCTCAACCACTCCCCAACCCATGTGAATGTGGGCTCCGATTTCAATGAGTGGTGGGGGATATGCCACCTCACTACCAAGTACAAAAAATTGTGCTTGGTACCAAGCATACCCATCTCTCTCTCTCTCTTTCTCTCTCTCTATATATATATATATAGAGAGAGAGAGAAATGTGTATGCTTGGTACCAAGCACAAATTTTGTGCTTGGTAGTGAGGTGCCCTATTCCCAACCACTCCCCAATCCATGTGAATGTGGGCCCCGATTTCAATGAGTGGAGGGGAATATGCTATCTCACTACCAAGCACAAAAAAAAACTTGTGCTTGGTACCAAGCATATCCATTTTTCTCATATATAATTATTTCATTTGTGTTTATATGGGAGTTTGCTTCATAAATTGGCTATAAGATGTGCTGCTTTTTCCCCCAATCTGGCTAGCAATACGTTCCTCATATGCCAAAGCTGTTGGTATCTTTGAATTTATTTTTGTCTATAATTAGTGTAATTATCTATAATGTGGTTTGATAAGTAAATACAATTACTGAATCAGTGAATCAGTCCAGTAAAGAATGTTGACATCCTTACCTTGTTTGGTTGTGTTATGTTGGCTGCATATGTTTGAATTTCAGACTCAAAAGTGTGGTGTTACAAGATTAGAAGCAGGTCAAATGTGACCATAATTCTACTCATTGCTGGCAGAATCCATGTAGAGTGTTGGACTGTGTATATTCTAATTGAACTTTTAAATGGCCTCGAGTTTTAAGTGTCCGGAATTGATCTTCAAAGTTCAGATATGCTTTACCTGTGTACACTGACCTTGCCGTTACTAGATCAGCGAACCCTTGTGAACTTTGTGGGTTGGTAGAAATAACTGAAGTAGTTTAAATCATTTATCCAAGACCGAAAAGATATTAGCAACCACTCCCAGTCAATGTTTAAAAAAGTGGCACCTTTTAATTTTAAAACTTTATAAATATTATGGACACATAATATTGATGTATGGTGAGATAATAATTGACAAATAGATACATTCTAGTCTTGATTAGTAAATTAAAATTAAATATGCTCAGTATGTATGAAAATTGTAGTGAAGTAAGCACCATATATAAGATATATATCTTAATAGTCATATGGGCATATTGAAGGCACGTGATGTAAAGTTAAATTTCCTTATTAAACAACCAAGTTCACTTGCTATATTCATTCAGAACTCCATACACAAATGAACTAGGAAATAGGCAAACTCCCAAAAAGATAAAAGATTGAATTATTGGTATGAGTATAAAATCCATCCTAATACACAAAGAAACGAAAAAAAAGTAACCTAATATTCAGAATTGTTGGAAATCACGTTCAATCAATAGAAAGAAATGTTAATTAGGAGCACAACAAAGAAGCAGACCGGCAATATGATTTCGTAAGATGATTGTTTTGACAAGAAGAAAATGCGGGGATTTTAGTCAAAAATCTTTGGTGTACTCTCATATTTTGTCTAAAGCATGCAACTTCAAAAGGGAAGCGCTTCATGGAGCTTGATGTGAACACTTCAGTCATCGCTTGAAGTGATGAGACGTATGCTCCAAGGGATAAATAGCTTATCTTCATGGAGCATGATGTGAGAATCTTTTTCAAATGTTGCTTCAAGTAATTCATGATATTTTTCTTTGTTTTTAAATTATCGATAATTTCTCCAGTAAAGAAGTTCATCATAGTGCAAAACCTCCCAGAACATGATAGTTTTGTGGAATTTACCCTGACTAATTGTGGTGTTCTTTTATCCAGAGCCTGTAAGAGAGGCATCGTTTATGAGTTCCCATCTAGAGGGCATTAGATAAAGAAGTCTTAGCATTCATGACTCATTGACAAAATTGTGCAGGGCCGATTTGAGATACTATGTTTATCTGGCTCTTACCTGATAACGGAAGATGGTGGATCACGAAGCAGAAGTGGGGGCCTCAGCGTAGCTCTTTCAAGTCCTGATGGCCGAGTGATTGGTGGTGGTGTTGGTGGGTTGTTAATAGCAGCAACCCCTGTCCAGGTATGTATTATTCTCTTCTATACTCGCACTGTTTTAGTATGTATATGCTTCAAATACCAGAACCAGAGAAGCAATTTTATTTTCTTCTTTTATAGAATGTCAGACTTTTAAGAAAATAACACGTGTAGGATATGGGTGTAGCAGAAATAAGAATTTGGATGAATGGATTATATTTAAGGGATAGGATTATAAAGAATAAATTGTAATACGTTAAGAGTAATATGGGGGAAAAAAGGGAAGGTTTGGTTGTCTGCAATGGACACCACTAGATGCACCTGATATGACTGATAAGGTTATAGTTAATGGAGCAAGAAAGATTAGAGATAGGCATTAATGGAGCTTGGTTGAAAGCAATTACGAATGATATTGTAGTGATTTGACTCAACAGATAGCCCTTAATAGAACTAAATGGAAGAGTAGCATGAACTTCGCTGACCCCAAATTTTTTGGATAAACGCTATGTTGTCGTCATTGTTGTTGTCTATGCTAGTGCAGTACATTAGTAGGTGAAGACGATCGAGTAATTTTATCTTCTGCTTTTACAGCCTGTACTTTGTCACTCAAGATTCAGGATGCATCTTTTGCAGGTAATCGTGGGGAGTTTTCTTCATGGCGGATCGAAAATGAAAAATAAATCAAAAAATGATAAGGACTCATCAGGTATCGAAAATGAGCTTGATATGGGCGATAAACAGAGCACGCCGATGGGTTCAATGCCCAACCAGACGATCCCGACTTCGTTGATGGGAGGATGGCCAGGATCAGGGCTCAATATGAGGAGTGCCCTCGATATCGACTTGACTCGTGGGTGACTTGTTGCGATTCTATGGTGGAAGTGTTTAATGTATATTATTTGGTATTATTAGATGGCAGGTACTTGAGAACCCTCTTTCTTGAGGATTTCTGTTGCTCACTCGATCATATACTAACTTGATTCTTGTAGCAAAAAAGATCAATCGTTGGATCATGACGCCTGGTAGATTGATACATTTAGTATTTGCTTAATTTAGCTTTGTGACATTTGTAGTTGTTCTCATTGAACTGAGGTTATCACATTTTTATGTATAAAGATGTGGTTATTGAGCTGGGTTTCACTGTGACCCCAATCTCCCAGGTAATATGTTTTAGTTATTCCTGTTGCAGTTGTGAATGCTTATTTCGCTGCTGCTTCAAAGTTGCAACGCATAAATGGCAAAATAAGGAGGGATTCATCTTTTATATCAGCAAATTACCAGTTAGGGTCCATGCAGTGTTGAATCTGATGAAAGATTGTTGCTGCAGTTGCTGCAGTCATGACTAATGTAAATTAGGGTTAATTGCGGGTAGATCCCTTGGATTATCGCCAGATTGCATACAGATCCTCTGTAGTTCTATTGTTGCTGAGAGACCCTCAAGTAAAAACCGACTCCTTTAGCATGGAAATTTGCGCTCTAAAGTCTAAACCGCTTGAGGGTGAAAGAGTCGAGAAAGAACTGAATTTTTTTTCACTCGGGGAGTCGTCTTCGACGATAGAACTAGGGGTCCATCCACAATTAACCCTAGAAATAATCCTGGATACAGACTTGCAACATCGCATCACAAGGAAGATGAATTACCAGTATAGAAACAATCCAATATTGAATTTTTCTGGCTAGGGATCTTATTATGATTATTACTAAGGCGGTGTTTCGTCTGCTATGCAACTGTGTTTGCATCCATATATCGCATATCTTCAAGAAGACAACAGCTATTCAAATAGTGCACACGATTTTTTTAATTTAATCTGCACACAATAGAGGTTTTGAATCAAGATGTAACTGAAATAATGTTCCATATTCAAAAACTTTATGATCTCACCAAACTACGGAAACAAACACAGAAAAGCTTAGGATCAGGTAAAGAAGAAACAATAGCGTTTTGATGCGTCCATTACTATCAAGTCCTGCAAGCTACAACGAGATAAATATTGTACCAAGACAAGCTGAAACAGGAGAAATGGTAGCATCTGAGTAGTCCGATAATCCTCGAAATACTCAAAACTGCACCCAACCAGATACTATAACATCCTGTTACTCTCCGAACTTGCTCACATAAGACATGCAGTTAATTCAAAAAGCACCCAGCTTTTGCAACTGGGACGTCTCTAATGAAACTGGATATTCTTCAGCCTGCTTCATGATGATACACAAGTTAAATATAATTAATTATTCAAAGTTCTCAAGCTGATTCCTCAACCTCTAAAACAAACGAGCTAAAGTTGTAAATTAAAAGGACAACTGAAACTAAACAAGTCAAAGTACCTCCTGGTGGAAGACAGCTCCATTGAGTGACCTGTCCTATTTACAGCATACTATCGGTCCTTGCTGGCAAACGTCTGAAGAAGTTTATCGGTGCTGAAGGCAAACGATGCCTAAACCTTGGATGCCTCATAGTATAGAAACCGGCCAATACTGCAAGCACTTGAAATGGAGTCACATATAGTACCAATGCCGCTAGTAGACAGAAGAGGATAAAGATAGCAGTAGCCCTAGGATCCCTCCAACTAAGCAAAGCCTGGATTCTTTCCCCTTGAGTTGCAACATCCCCCACTACTGTCTGAATCCTACCAGCCACACTCCTCAGCCTATCATACCTCATCCTCACAAGTTCCGGACTTCTTGTAGTAGGAAAAGTATCGAACTCCTCATCCAACTCATCAGGATGCACAGCCTCAGCATGTGAAATCTTAGTGTTCATATGTGGAGGATAACGAGGTCGATAACGATAGTTCCATATCCCGATCAAGAACATATATAAAAATATCGTCGGAAGGATCAATTCAGGGAAGCAAACGAGCATGGCAAAGAGAACGTGAACCAAGACCGTAGTGATAGGGTTTTTCCAAGCGCACACATCACCGAACCATTTGCCAGCTGCGAAAACTCCAGAAAATACCGACATTAGGCGAAAGAAGTTCGCCTTGCTTCTTCGCATGCTCCATAAGTGAGAATCGACATCAGACATATATTCAACAACTTCTTTACGAAGAGGCGGCT